CCACCTTTATGAGAGTTTTCCTTTTGTAGCTTGACAGTGGTCACTTCGAGCTTTTGTTTTATGAAAAGAGGTGAAAAAATGCATAAAAAAAAAAAAAAAAGCTTACATTAGCTACTGGTTCAGAACAATGGCAACATTTTTGGGTGAACTATTCTTTAACTTTTGAGTGTTATTCACCTCCCCTTGTGCTCGGTGGATTGCTTCATATAAACAGCAACTTGCATCACTTGGAAACTTTGATCAAACAGTCTGTCACAGAGCAACAAACAAGCTGGGGGCAGGAAATAATCATCAATATCTGATGGCCCTCTGGAATGCAGGTTTAAATGATTAATACTAGCAGAGAGCTGCAAAAGTGCTGCGCTTTCCCTAACACAGCAGCAGACATTGTGTGTGATGTGTTTATCTGATGCCAATATACTTTTTGGGTGGTGAACATTAACATCCGTTGTGCATTTTATGAAAATAAATTTTAATTATGCTCCATGCATTGCTATTTTAAACTTTTCTGTATGCATATTTGGATAATTGCATATGTTTCATACATTTCACAAAGGAAAGGAGAATGTGGAATCCTGCAGATTTGGCCCAGTTGGAACACATTAAGCTCAAAGTAAGTATTTTATAATCAAAAATCTCTAAATATTATAATCAACACACTTTAATAGACATTTGACAGCCCTGACATATAACAGAGGGCAGGATTCAATGCAGAGTTGGTAATAATGCATGCTGAAATATTATCCCAATTCCACAAGGGGGCACTGAAACACCCAGAGGGGCCAATCATTGGCTTATTAAAAAATTAATTGAACAGCCCTTCTGTAGGCTGGTATTGAACACCTCATTATTGGAGCTTATGTAATCAGCTTTCAGTGTTACACTTATTAAGACAGACCGACAGGTAGCGTAAAGCAGGACCGCTACTGTTTGTTAACACTGGCTTTGTGAACTAATTACCAATTACATCTAATATACTGTACCTCACTGCAGTCACGCATACCCATAGTTGTGTGTGACAAATAGAGTCGGGTGTTATTGGGCAAGGGCAACAAAAAATAATAATAAATAAAATATATATATGTAAATAATGTTGCAATTATGGGAGATCTCGCAGAAGAGATCTTTTTTTTTTTTTTTTTTTTTATATAAATATGCTATTATCCAAAGCAATCAGTATGTTATTTTAGCTTTTATTATAGTTTTATTGAATTATAAATTAGCCTTTATTTTATATTATAAGTTTTCATGTTAATTTTAATTTAATTTGTAGTAATTTTGTTATGGGCATTTGTTTTGTTTTTTATATTGCTATTTAGGTTTAATTTATAGTTAATTTAGTTGTTTAAGTCTTCAATTAATATTAATATTTAATTTTTTCAGCTTTATTTCAATAAACAGAAATGTTTGAATAGTTAATAGATTCAGTTTGTTTGTGTGTGTGTGTGTGTGTGTGTGTGTGTGTGTGTGTGTGTATTAATGTATATAGTGCAAATAATTTAGCCCTAGCTGAACCTTTTGTGACTCAGAGAAACATCTATTTAGCAGGGCAACCATCTGCTCACATGTCATAAATCTTTTATAAGGATTCCATCTCAGTGAGCAATTGATAATATTGCGATATAAACTGCTACAAAGTTACTAGAGATTTAGATGTGAGATGCAGTGGAACAACTGCTTTGGAAAACAGGCTATACAGTATATTAGCATAACACAAGGGACATGTTTTGTGGTGTAGTCAGCCTATAAATGCATTCAAAGCCACAGCGACTGTCATATCAGTCTTGTAAATCTGTGAAATAGCCATTGTGTTATTTCAATGATACAGCTTTAACATCCTCAGCCTGCCAATGAGAATGTGTTCAAAGTGCATAGGAACCTTTGAAAGAATAACGTCCTGATTTTCACTGTTATATTTGGGTGAAAAGCCTATGATGGCATACTGAATAAGAGCAGATCAAATAAAACATTTAGGAGAACCCAAAGTTCAAACTCACTAAAGCACAAAGCAGGAAAGTGCATCAGTCTGGTGTCCAATTTAAAGTGATAGAAGTCACGGGCTCTGCAGTAGCTCATGAATTTTTAAAGGATCGATATCTCCCCATACAGCTGCTACAGATGCACAGTCCTCCTTAATTTCGTATTCTTTAATGGTTTGTCTCAGTTTGCCCAATCTAGATTTAAGATTTGAGAAATCTATCAGATACAAGGCAGTGTGACACTTTCAGGCGGATAATTAGAATTTTCTGACGTGAATGTTATAAATTCAAATCTTTGAATGTAAGATTTGTCTCAGAGTTATAATGACTTTTAAGGGAATAAAAGAAACAAATGCATGCAGAAAATACTAGGTTATTTATATATGACATGTTAAAAAAAAGTGCTAATACATTCCAGGAGGACTCAGTATTGTTCATTTTGTCATGAGCTGAGGTTAAAGGGATACTTCACCTCTGGAAAGATGAATGTGTATTTAAAATGGGTCATTTATGTAGAAGAAATGTGAAATTATTTTTGAATTTGGAGCTTTCTAGACTGAGAAAGCCAGAAAATGTATTTTTGGCTTATGTGGATGAAAGACAACAACTCCCAGAATGCACTTGCTTCGCTGCCCTAGGAGGCCACGCCTACCGGTAACAGAGCACAGTAGTTAAACAACAAGGCTGCGTCTGAAATCGCGTACGTCTAGGCTACTAGTGAGTCTCCGTGATGAGTCTGCCCGGGATTTCGAGATCGCCCAAAATGTCTGGGATTCGGCTTTTGCGTTCTACAGTCGGCATTCATCATGTTTACTGTGGCGAGCAGGACGAGTGAGGACCGCGGGAGAACGGCGCGAGGCCGGTGGCGTGATTACCGATGAGCGACACCTGTGAGACGCAGCGGTCTCGTATCTCTCACGGAGGAGCAGGAATTTTCTTAGCTATGCTACCGATCACTTGTTTAGCGTTCATGTAAACATGACATTCAGATTCACCAATCGGAATGAATTCAGTTAGATTGAAACAAAAGGTGTGCATGTAAACAATGAATGGCGACTGCAGAAAGCAAAAGCTGAATCCCAGACATTTTGTATGATCTCAACGGTCGGACATGTCCGGGAAAAAGAGGATGTATGGTAACCCCTACTACTCAGCTTTCTCCACAGAACAAGAGCCTGCTAGCTTAGCTTCCAAAAAAAGATGTCTGACACTATGTGTACATTCTGTGAGTGAGATCCCACCCTCTATGGGCGGGTTGAAAACATGCGGGACAGCTCCTACTACTGACTGTAGTCTTTAGCCTCTGGCCAAAAAATCCTCCGATGACGCAAAATGACGATTTTTGCGTCATCGGAGGATTTTTTCCAGACAAAAAATACATAAATCTCTCATCTCAGGGGGTATATATGAGGGTGGAAAGCACGGTAATTTGAAAATACTACAGGTTTTCTACTAATACAAAGCTTAATGCTAAATCCTGAAGTATCCCTTTAATGTCTTTCATGTCCATCGGATTTGTTTATGACAGTTTGCTTGCTTGGACATTGTTTAAACTTGGCAAATGCGAGGACCAGGGACGTGATGGCTGGAAAACTCAGATAGGCTTAGTCATGTGGCATGGAACATTTACACAAACAAAATGCATCACTAATTCTGTTGGTTTTCCTGCAGGTACAAGTGAAATGAATCTGAGATTAAACTGGACCAAAGAGGACGAGCATGACAGGAAGGAGGGGTCCGCAATTTCGCTTGCAGTCATTACCTCCGGAAATCAGAATGTAAATACATGGTACTGCCACTCAAGACTGCTGGGAAAATTAAAGCATGTCATAAACATTGATAAGAGAGTCTATTTGTGTGTGTATTTTTTCGTGGGTGTGGGCTTGTGTTTATGTTTATGTCGACTGTTTGGGATTGCATTGCACCAGCATTAAAAAGTAGGATACAGTTATGCTCCTAGATGTATATATACATTATATAATATGTAAAGTATATATTGCATGTTGTTACACGACTCTAATGAATACTTGATTCTGATTCTTCAATTACGGCTTTCAGAAACATTAAAGCTATGGTATACTTTCATATCTTCGACTGTGTTTGATAATAACCTCGGAAGACTTTACTGTTATTAGACTATTACTATTGTTGCATGCGTTGTTTTGCTAGCCGATTGTTTTGTAGCCTGTGCTGTAGAATATTTTTCTTAATAGGCTAAGTAATATATACATTTTTCTTAATACAGCTAATATTATAAAGTAATATAAACAAATCAATATTTTATGTCTTCCTATTTTATTATATTGTTATTATTTGTAGTAGTATTTTTATGGTCACATTTTAGATTAGGGTCCAATTCTCACTATTAACTAATCTATGACTTTTGCCTCAGTAAACTCCTTATTACTGCTTATTAATAGTTAGTATGGTAGTTTAGTTTAGGTATTGGGTAGGATTAAGGGATGTAGAATATGGTCACATTTTTGGCCGAACTATCCCTTTAATGCCTTATTATGCATGACCATATTCTACACATCTGCTGAACACAAAAGAAGAAACTCATACAGGTTTGCAACAACTTGAGGGTGAGTAAATGATGACAGAATATTCATTTTTGGGTGGAGTATCCCTTTAAACAGCCAACATCCTAGTAATATGCTTGCAAGCAACTATAGTTAATAGTGAGTAGTATTGGACCCTAAACTGAAGAGTTACCTTATTATTATTTTATTATAGCCATGTAAGCAGGATCAGTCAGGTCGTTTTCGCAATATAAATCCCCTTCATAATCAGCAAAAACGGTATTGTAGAAAAGAAACTTTTTTATCTCGTCAAAAGAACCTTACAGCAACAGTAATAATGATAGATTAAAAAACAAATAGTTGCATTACTAACTAGAACGTGTCTTTTCATTGTAGACTTTGAAACCCGAGGGAGCCGTTTAAATCCAGACCTGGAATTTCCTGAGGGCGATTAAGCAAGCAATTACTACAGCCCGTTATCTGCATCTTGAGTGACCCCCAACTCCACACAGTCATTATTTCCATATCGCGTTGCTCTCACGCCCACTGAGAGAGGGAGCAGAGAGCTCATCCGGTGCATTGAGGGACGTCCAGGTCCTCATCTGAGCTCTGTACAGCATCAGCACCAGCCGCTGCGTGAGAAACAAACCGAGTCGCATCCCCGCGGAGAGCAGCTCCGCGTGCGCTTCATTCAATCTGGAGCGTCAGATGGTGCAAGATGCGCCGCTTCTTTGTCCTCCTCTACACCCGGACTGAGCAAGTTAACACTGGAAGGGACCAATAGTAGTTGAGGGATCCGAGAAGACACGTTTGAGCTGCACTGAAAGGCTCTTGCAGGACGCGCGCTTGGATTATTGTCCTCATATCATCACTCCCGTGGATTTCCTGCTGGAAAACTAAACACGCGCGTCGCGGCTTCCTGAGAAAGAAAACGAGTCATAGTTGTTTAAAACGTGTTAATTCGGCTTCTTTCTCGCGAGGGAGGAGCAATGAGAGCGTAAACAACACTGGGTGGCTTTGTTTCTCAGACACAGACCCGAGGAAGATCACATTGACATGTCTTTCAGTGCTGGATTTGGAGATACCGTTATTTCTCCACTAACTTAGGGAAGTGTTGTCCGTGTCTCTTTGACTTTGCGTTACACCTCAATTCTACTTTTCTAACAAACACATGCAGTTTTCTTCATATCTTCTCCATACACGGTGGAGTGCTTGGGATGCTTTCATCGGAAGGGCGTATTTGATTCGCGTCTATCGCGTTTGGAGTGAAGAAAGATCCATTTAAACCCGTTGCCTGGGCATCATTTTGTGGAGTTACAGCGACCCACGTGGAAACACGGACTCGAAGGAGGACAAGATGGGCTGTTGCAGTGGTAGATGCACGCTGGCATTTATATGTGGCATGCAATTGGTAAGTGATAATGCTTAAGGAATTTCTACGTGATAGATAGTTTATGGATTCGAACCTACAACCTTTCAGATTAAGATCTTTCATTACTAATTAAAAACAGGTGAATTGGTGACTCAGTCTGATTTGACTAACCTAGGTTAGTAAAACCTACTAAAAGTTCATAGGGTTTGAACCTACAACCTTTCAGAATACTCACCGAGGTTTTTAATCTGAATTGGTTTCTGGACGCTAGTGCCTAGTTATTTAATGTCATTTTATAGAGATGTCACTACTAATTGTGCAAAAACTGTAGTGAACCTGAGAACCCAATGTCCACCTGACAAGTGGTCAGTGATACGGCACTAAGATGTGGCCATGGGTAATCTTAGTTGAAATAATGTAGGGCTATATGTGGAAACCCTGCCTCGTTATATTACACCGGAGGGATGATGATGGTGCTCATAAAGGCAGGGCTTGTGTCATTAGCCTTGGGCTGCTATCATTTATGCTTATCTTCCCACTACCACGGGTCGTGACAGCCAATTAGGAGTTTTAAGTTGAAGATGCTAAGCCAAGTCTCATTGACCTACTAAAGCAGAAAATGATTACTTATTGGTTCTCCAGAGCTTAATAGGGATTTTGACTGTTAGAATTCTACATTTAATGTTTTCCTATCCAGTCCCATTTAAAAAGATGATTTCAGTCTGGTGTTTGTACAACAACATTGCACTCTGTAAAGAGTAATTTCTCGTGTAAACTCTTCTCGGACTATCTCTATCACACCTTTTGAATCACTCTTTCAGTTACAGTAATGGATAGTGGGCAGCGACAGTCTCGACATGCCAACCAGCTGGCATGATGAATCAGACGTGCGTGATAGATCACATGACAACTGGCAAGCGTGACTACACTAATCCAAATGGACGTTTGTAGGTTAATGTATCACGCAGGTCATTAACCCGAAGAATCAGCTGTAGTGGGTGATGTCACCACCTGGTGTCTATTAATCAGACCTTACTCAGTGTTCATGACTAGAAGTCGCTCAGCGGGATGATGTCATAAGCATGCAGTTTGAGCTGGATGATGTCATAGGCGAGCAAGTTACTTTTAAGTAGCCGAAGTCTTATGAGCTTTTTGTTTTGTATATTTCAGAATTAGAGTGGGTTTTGTGCTGATTGGTGTAAAACCTTTTTTTTTATTGGTGCACTGATCTGGGCTCTTTTTTGTCCTCTCTTTTCTTTTTTGTTTCTCTGACCTTTTCCGACCCCCTTTTCCTCATGTTTGCTACTATTCTGCAAAAGAGTTCATTCTGAGCTATTTATTCGTTTATTCCTGACAACTAAACAAATTAGTGGCATGAAAAGGTGGGGAAAAATATTATACTGGGTCTTATGTGAGATACTGTATACTGGGTTGATATCATTTCCTCCAACAACTTTATTTTTATACCAGAGATGGCATGTAGATCAGCATGTAGTGTCAGAGTTAGGCTATATGAAAAAAAGAAAAAAAAAGTTATTGTCCAAAAGCTCTTTCCTCCTCTAGCTTTGTTACCCGTTTCTTCCAGGAATGGCTGTAAACGCATAATGCACCCAGCTCTGCTAAATTACCAGGCAGTTTTTATTGCCTAAGGCAATAATACAAATAAAATGTCCATAGTTAAAGCATTTATGAGAGTTCTCTCTCTGGTGGTTTTTGTGTCTGGCATGTATAAATGCCTGTGGTTTAACAGTCTGGCCTGGAGGCCCAACATTCTGACATGGAAACAAAGAAAGGAATATTGTATACTCAAGGGATGTGTTCATGGAGATTGCTCAAAGATGCATTCATATGAAGGACATCTGGTAAAATAGTTTGACTCTATTATGGCTGATGAAGAACTTGATAACCGCTGTCAAATTGTCCTCTTAGCTTCAGCTTCTGACAGCCTCCCTATGATGCATAATGTATACTAAGATGAATACAGCTGGTGAAATCCGCCCGTTCCAATTGGCTGCCTGCAAGAGAACTTCTGGGAATCAGGCATGCACAAGTTTTTTATCAGTCAGTCAGGAAGATTTGTTTACATGTTAGCAGATTGCCGCTAATGTTGCAGGGTTTAGCCTATGGTAGGAGTGGGCGATATGACCAAAATCGGATAACGCTATGAGTACATTTATTTCATGATAACGATATATATATATATATATATATATAGTTATTTTTGCTTTAAAAATAAGGATTTTATGATATCAACATTTTTTGTGTTATTGAAATGTCATAATTCTTGTCACCCATTTCACTATCACAAAACAACTAATACTAGCCTAAGTAAAAAAAAAAAAACAATTCAAGCTTACTGAAGTCAAGTAAACAGTCAGTGATAAAATAAGAACTAATAGGACAATAGTATGAAACTAAAATAGAACAAAGACATAAATGAAATAGACCTACTTGAAAAAATGAAAGCACTAGAAATAAGAAATATTTAATAAATTTTAAGTAATCGCATGAATACAAACACTGCATAGTGTAAATCCATGTGTAAATTAATACATGTATTCTTATTAAAGTTACAAAATTGAAGGGAGAAGAGTCTTGTCTGCGTCCCTCAGTACTACAAACTTTTTCGTCAACACTTGACCCATTAATACTAACACTAACTATTCTATATCTATTAAAAAAAAACTTGCTAGGTGTACTGTGCTAGACTAACTGGGACTGGTCACAGCACTTGCATATTGTTGCCCTATTGTTGGTTTGATTGCTTCTATTGCTCTACTCATTCGTAAGTCGCTTTGGATAAAAGTGTCTGCTAAATGATTAAATGTAATGTAAATGTATATGTAATACAGACTCATGGTGATTATAGCTAAAACCTACCCCAAACCCTAAACCTTACCCTAAACTTACCCCTGCCATAAAATTAAAATGTACTGTTTCATAATTAAAGTACATTAAAAACTGAGGAAAATAAACCGGATGACTTGCGGAGTCTAGTGATCTATGTAATACGATCTGTATGCCTTATCACTAGGTGGCGATAGTAAACCGAAGAAAGTGAAGTAGAAGAAGAGCGGTTCTAATGAAGAGGGCATGGCTATGATGACATCCAGAATGGCTAGGGCTGCACGATTAATCGAAAATTAAACAGCACACGATTTGGCAAAGCCTGCAGGGTTTTTTTATGCGCAGCTTGTCAGTAAAGCACGGCTCTGTTATCAGTAGTAAATGCTGCTTCATCTTTCTGCGCTCTTGCGCATAAACTCCAAATATGCCCCGCAGAAGTACGTTAATGCACGTCATTTCAGGAAATCCCTCTGGGCATCATACTATGACTGTAGCTTAATAAACAGAAGATCGAAACGCTTCGAATGATTAAACATATCTAATAAACACACGACTATGACAATATATGGTTTATCTGAGTTCTTCAAGCCTTCTCATGTATTTTTATGATAATAAAGTATATTTATACTTCAATGCTAATAATCGACATAGCCTTTATCACTGTATAGAATACTATGAAATAATCTCTTGTGCCTTTTTCTGTGTAAGAAGCCACATCATCTCACAGAAGGATGCTCTACTGTCGCTATGAAGTGAGTAAAAACACGTTATTAAACGTTGTCTTTTGTTGGACAAGAGGTTCATAAATGCTTCCCATGTTTGGAAAGATGTGACAGTGTGCGCATATAGCGAAATTAGTTTTTGTGCTTGTTTTTAAGCTTGAAAACGAATGCAAACAATAAGCTTTCGTGACCACACTGCACGGCCATTTCACATGAGTGTAACTGTGATGGAGAGGATAGTTCTGCAAATTTCTACCGGTTTAATCGTGTCTACCGGTATATCGCCCACCGTTCATTGCATTGCAACATACACTCACCGGCCACTTTATTAGGTACACCTGTCCAACTGCTCGTTAACACTTAATTTCTAAGCAGCCAATCACATGGCGGCAACTCAGTGCATTTAGGCATGTAGACATGGTCAAGACAATCTCCTGCAGTTCAAACCGAGCATCAGTATGGGGAAGAAAGTTGATTTGAGTGACTTTGAACGTGGCATGATTGTTGGTGCCAGAAGGGCTGGTCTGAGTATTTCAGAAACTGCTAATCTACTGGGATTTTCACGCACAACCATCTCTAGGGTTTACAGAGAATGGTCCGAAAAAGAAAAAACATCCAGTGAGCGGCAGTTCTGTGGGCGGAAATGCCTTGTTGATGCCAGAGGTCAGAGGAGAATGGCCAGACTGGTTCGAGCTGATAGAAGGGCAACAGTGACTGAAATAACCACTCGTTACAACCGAGGTATGCAGCAAAGCATTTGTGAAGCCACAACACGCACAACCTTGAGGCGGATGGGCTACAACAGCAGAAGACTCCACCGGGTACCACTCATCTCCACTACAAATAGGAAAAAGAGGCTACAATTTGCAAGAGCTCACCAAAATTGAACAGTTGAAGACTGGAAAAATGTTGCCTGGTCTGATGAGTCTCGATTTCTGTTGAGACATTCAGATGTTAGAGTCAGAATTTGGCGTAAACAGAATGAGAACATGGAACCATCATGCCTTGTTACCACTGTGCAGGCTGGTGGTGGTGGTGTAATGGTGTGGGGGATGTTTTCCTGGCACACTTTAGGCCCCTTAGTGCCAATTGGGCATCGTTTAAATGCCACGGCCTACCTGAGCATTGTTTCTGACCATGTCCATCCCTTTATGGCCACCATGCACCCATCCTCTGATGGCTACTTCCACCATGTCACAAAGCTCTAATCATTTCAAATTGGTTTCTTGAACATGACAATGAGTTCACTGTACTAAAATGGCCTCCACAGTCACCAGATCTCAACCCAATAGAGCATCTTTGGGATGTGGTGGAACGGGAGATTCGCATCATGGATGTGCAGCCGACAAATCTGCGGCAACTGTGTGATGCCATCATGTCAATATGGACCAAACTCCCTGAGGAATGCTTCCAGCACCTTGTTGAATCTATGCCACGAAGAATTGAGGCAGTTCTGAAGGCAAACGGGGG